TAACATGAGTCGAAAAAAATAAAGTTTTCTACATGGAGGAACAAAAAGGATGACTAACCTGCAATTTGAACTTTGAAGTTACTGCTATGAAGAGGAATGTAGTTCTCTTTGTATTTGTAAATAAAAATTGAATATCCGTTTCCTTTGCGAGATATTAGCAGACTAGCAGACAAGATAAATAATTGGGAAAGACCATGAATTAGAGTTTCAATCAATAAAAAAGATCTTGACTTTTACATTTAATACATTTCAGTTCTTTTTTAAAACTTTTGAGTAATTACCAAGCTGAATTTTGAGAATTTGAATATTATATGAAGGACTTATTCAACACATTTTGTTTTAATTTGAAAAAGTCTTTGGGGCTTACGCCTCACAAAAAAAATACGCCTCAAACGCCCGGGCGTATGCCTGAATTGTTGGGCATACGCCTCTTGAGACTTTCGCCCCACACCATTGCCTCAGGACATTTTTGGTACGCCTCGCCCCAGGACTCGTCCCGAAAATACCTTTTAAAACACTGATTTTCACCCCGTTAATTAAGTAGAGACATAACAACTCTACTAGGTGGGTACTTTTGTGGTCATGTAGCTAAAAGTTCTCCACCTTTTCAAAATTAAACCTATGATTTGAATATTAGTTTTGAATTTTAAACTTCAAGTCAGGTAGCAACTCTTGAACTTCAAACCATTAATCTTGCTTTGGAAAAATGGTCAAATTCAAATATAAGACCACGAGCATAACTAATTGTGTGGATTGCCAATATAATAGAGACAATAAAGAGAGGTCCATGGTAATTGAAGTACAATAATACTTTCTATAGCAATCACCTTTTGTAACAATATTTCACTATGGCAAACAAATTTCTTTTCAACTAATTTTGTGTTATGTTTATCTTAATAGTAACAATTTTTTATCAATAACAAGAACAACTAACATTATACCCCCCCCCCCCCCCAACTCTTTTAAATTTAAAGCTCTCTGGNCCCCCCCCCCGGTCCATTGTAATTGTCGTAGTTACAATAAATAATTGGTTCAAAATACTTACTTCCCCCGTTCCAATTTATGTAAACATGTTTGGTTGGGCACAAAGTTTAAGAAAAAATAAAGAATTTTGGAATTTGTTGTCCTAAACATGTCAGAAAGGGGTTCAAAGTTTTTGTATGGTTATAAAAGTTTTTCCTTAAGAGTAGAATTGAAAGTTTAAGCTAAATTATTTCCAAATTTAGAAAGGGGTCATTCTTTTTGGAACAGACCAAAAAGAAAATAAGCTCGAAGGAAACTCGAAGGAGGGAGTATCATTTTAGAAATTCGAAATATAATTAATTATTATCTTTTCATTTTGCCATTAATATTTATTGTTCTTGAAAGTAAAAATAGACTATACAGTATAGAAAACCTAAATGTGAAGAGTTTTAAATAAGGTAGAGTAGTCAGAAAGCTCTTCTTATTAATACTCCCTCCGTCTCATATTAATAGTCATGGTTACTAAAAATAGTTGTCTCAAATTATTTGTCATTTTAGAAGTTCAAGACAAAATTGATTATTTTTTTTCTTTTTTACCCTTAGTAATAATTATTTTTGAAGATAAAGATAACACATAAATAGAATAAATATTCAATGAAGAGAGATTATATCTTAAGATATAAATAAGTGCAAAATAATCTAATCTATTTCCTAATTAATATTTTTTAAAGGGCGTGTAAAAGAGAAACACGACACATAATATGAGACGGAGGGAGTAGTTTCTTAAGGAATGTGTAAAATAAAAACATGACAACTAAAATAGACTCGAAGAAGTAATGTATACTCCTTATAAAATTACTTCTTTTGTCTTACTCCATTACCTATGTATCTATTCACAAATAACTAAAAAAATAATCTATTAATTATATTTTAGCAGAAAAATAACTTTAATGAAAATTTCATGTTCCAATGAGGAATTTAAAACATTACAAACTCTTGTGAACTTGGAACATCAGAAATTTAAAACGAATTTTTTGAATATAAAAAAAACTATTTTAGAGAGGTAAAACCTCTCTATAATAATAAAAGGGAAAAAGGGCCAAATATACCCCTCTACTTTCATATATTGTCTCCATTTAACCTCCATTATACTATCGGGCCAAATTTATCCCTACAATTAACAAACTTTTAAAAATACCCCTTGTTCTGTTAAGTATCCAAAATCTCTCAAATTTCTTTTATTTAAATCACTTGTTGTTCTACTTGGTCCACTATTTTTAAAATAATTGGCATTTACCTACTTTCTGAATTAGAGAAAAAAATATTAAATAATACAACCGAATAAACAAAGTATAGTAAATTAAAAAATCTAAATTAGGTAGCTTTTCTAAATTCTAAAAGTATTTACAACATCCCAATTTTAATGAATTCATTGCATCAAATGTATGGAGACTTTGCAAGTATTAGTGATTGAAGTTGAAGTTCCTCGGAGACTTTACATTGTCTAATTCAACTTTGCTTTAATTAAATGCCTACATATTTTGTACTCTTAAGTTAGTCGATCTAACTCTATACTAACCAGGCAATGACAAAATATATTTGAATATACATGTACATATATGATGATCGACTGTATATAATACACAATAAATAGACCCACTAAATTCGACGGTGTGTATATGATTGAAAAATAAATAAAATTTTAAACTAATTTTATTTATTACAAAAAGAGATATGGGTACATTGGTATTAAAAAAAAATTATGAATAATTTGTATAGTCTAGTAACTTTAGCATTCACATTAATAGTAATTTTTAAAATTAAAATAGTGGACCAAGAAGAACAACAATTGATTTAAATAAAAGGAATTTGGAAGATTTTGAATTACTTAACAGATCAAGAGGTATTTTTAAAAGTTTGCTGATTGTAGGGGTAAATTTGACTCGATAGTATAACGGTAAGGGTAAATTTGATCCGATAATATAATGAAGGTTAAATACAAACAATATACGGCAAAAGGGTCAAATATACCCCTATACTTTCGAAAATGGTCTAAGAATACCACTCGTTATACTATTGGGCTATATATACCCTTCCCATCATACTTTGGAACAAATATACCCTTATTTTGGATGGAGTGCCACATGGAAGCATCAGATGAAAACGACCAATTTCGTTTTTTTACCCGATCCGTTTTAAAAAATCACTACCCGACCCGTTTTAAAATTTAATTTTTTTAAAGCATATATTTTGTAAAAACTGAAATTTATTTTTGTAAAAATTGGCAAAAAAAAAAAGAAATTTGCAAAATATATATTTTTAAGTCTTTTCAGTTTTTTTAAAGTATTTTTCTTGTAAAAACTGATTTTTTTTGTTTGTAAAAACTAGATAAAACGACTCTCCGAAAGCAGTGGATGCATTAGTTTAAAAAAAATGAAAATATTTTACAAAATCTTTTTTTTAGTTTTTACAATAAAAATACTTTAAAAAACTAAAAATATATATATTTTGAAAAGTCCTTTTTTTTCAGTTTTACAAAAAAATAATTTTTTTAAAAATGCTTTAAAAACTGAAAAATATATATTTTGTAAAAACTGAAAAAAAGGAATTTGCAAAATATATATTTTTCTGTTTTTTCAGTTTTTTAAAGTATTTTTTTTGTAAAAACTGAAAAAAAAAAATTGCAAAATATTTTCATTTTTTTAAAACTAATGCATCCACTGCTTTCAGAATCTTTTTTTTTCCTAGTTTTTACAAAAAAATATTTTTTTTCAGTTTTTACAAAAAAAATACTTTAAAAACTGAAAATACTTAAAAATATATATTTTGCAATTTATTTTTTCAGTTTTTACAAAAACAAAATCCATTTTTTACAAAACATATGCTTTAAAAAAATTAAATTTTAAAACGGGTCGGGTGGTGGGTTTTTTAAAACGGATTGGGTAAAAAAAAAAAAAGAAATGAGTCGTTTTCATCTGGTGCTGCCACGTGACACTCCATCCAAAATAAGGGTATATTTATTCCAAAGTATGACGGGAAGGGTATATATAGCCCAATAGTATAACGAGAAGTATTCTTAGACCATTTTCGAAAATATAAGGATATATTTGACCCTTTGCTGAACAATATATGAAAGTAGAGAGATATATTTGGCCCTCTTCCCTTAATAAAAATAAGGGAGAGAANTGGGTTTTTTAAAACGGATCGGGTAAAAAAAAATGGGTCGTTTTCATCTGGTGCTGCCACGTGACACTCCATCCAAAATAAGGGTATATTTATTCCAAAGTATGACGGGAAGGGTATATATAGCCCAATAGTATAACGAGAAGTATTCTTAGACCATTTTCGAAAATATAAGGATATATTTGACCCTTTGCTGAACAATATATGAAAGTAGAGAGATATATTTGGCCCTCTTCCCTTAATAAAAATAAGGGAGAGAAGTTCATGGTAAAGCGTCTGTACATCACGCATCAATCAGCAAAGTGGTGAGATATCTACAGAAGTGTACAAATGACAATGATACCGTAGGCTACAAGGAAAAGGTGAATGTAAAAGTTAAAAAAAGGGTAAAAGGAGGGAGATGGTAAAAGGTAATGTCCGCTGACAATGGAGCAACTTAGAAATCCACGCAGTTGACACTACTTGCCGCCCAAGATTTACCCTAACGTAGCGATGTCTTTTACACTCGTGCAAAAAGTAGAGTACCAAAACTAAAAATAAAATACTTCGTCTACTAAATTTATGTGACATTATTTTTTTAATTTTAAAAAATAATATATTTTTATAGTTAATTTAACTTTAAAATATTTATTTTATTCCAAATGAGATAATTTATAGTCACATATATATTTATAACCAGAGACAGAATTGAGGATTTGAAGATGACATAGGCACATGAGCAGGCTGTTCAACCAGTGCCCCGTCNATATATATATATATATATCCAGAATTTTTGATGAGGTTAATGGGATCCGGCAACCCCTCTTCTCTATACATAAGTCCACCTCAGTTTATGACTTGTTTCAGGCCACAAATTTTAAAAATCTTTTTAAAACTTAGTATACAATCAAATAGTATACCACATAGATTGGGACGAGGAATTACTAACTAGAAAGTAGAAACTACTCTAAGAAAAAGATCCCACAACAATAGGCAAAAGAACTATTACTACCAGAATTGCAACTTACAACACAAATCAGGTCAAATGTAATACCTCCCCCTTAGCTCCCTCTATGTACCCCAATCCCCAGCACCAGAAAGTAGAAAAAAGAGAAAGAAGTAAAGGGGAAAATCTACCATTATAGCTAGTCTTGAATATCTGGAGCTGCTATCCAAGGGTTCTCCATTAAGTCATGATATACTCCTATCATGATCAGCAAAAAAAATACAACAGCTAGTGAACTTCACAATAGATGGCAGATTCCAGCTATAAATTCAAGAGTGGCATTCATGCTATATATAACTAGAAAGATTTTTTGTAAAAGAAATTTGTTAGCCATTTCCATATTATGAAGGTACACGTCTTAATGCAAAGGGTTTATGTTAAATGCAAACATGTTAAATATAGCATCTATGTATATTAGCTAATTGTGTGTAAATATTCGTTACCCAATATAGGCGTGTGCAAATATTTGGTACAAGCACGTACAATTAATTTTGTGTACTGACATTCTTATGTATATCTTGATAAAGAAAATCGCATAATGCAACTTAATTTTGCATTAAATTAATTCAACACAATACATAAGATAAACGAAAAATCCATCACAAGGTATAATGTTAGGATTAAAGCAGGGGCAGATGCAATGCGAAATTAAAGGTTTCAACCGAATCCATCATTTTTTCGCAAATTTTAGATATATATGTGAAAAATAACCAAAATATATACAAAAAATTAAATTCTAACCTCATAATTTACAAAAATACAACGTGTTCAATATTAAAATGATTAAAGTTAACTCACACGTTATAAATTTTGAACCTGCGTCTAAATGAAAGAGCATATAATTGTCTAGGATTATTCCACATTCATAGATTAATCATGGAAGATGCTTTTTTTCCCATCCTAAATCTCATATAGTATTTAACTTAGTGCTACTATAATACCCTTCCTGTTTTTGGGGAAGAAGAAAGTACCGGATTAAGTAGGCAATCTTATGACAATTCTTTTTCTTTTCTGTGTATATATGTTGACTCTCCAAAAAATATTGCCGCACTCATTGGATCTTTCAACAATGCACTATATTTTTTGGAGAATTTAGCTGCTGATATTTTTGAAGAGTTCGAGCAACATAAGTTTTGTATAATAAGAATATTTCAAGCATATGGATATTAACCGTATGATCACGTTGCAATCTCAAAGAATAATGCATAATATCTCAAAAGATTCGAAGCATATGATCATGTTGAGGACCACTCATCCCAAAAATATGCTTCAGTTTACGCCGACAGGCGTGACTTATTCTATTACTTATGCATGTTCTGCATGAGATGTTTATGCATCACAAAAAGCAAGGAAAATATCATACCGCAAGATTTGCCTTTGGCATGCTGAGGAGCGCATTGCCACCTCCACTGGGCTGATTCTTAAAGCCTATATATGGCCAAATTAACGTACCAACAACAATCACAAATTTGGTTCTTGTCAAAACCCAGTAGAGAAAATTACTTCATTTCATTTTATATTTTTATATTTGACTAAGCAGTTAATTAAAGAAAAAAGACAGACTTTTGACACATCTCAAAAGTATCAAATTTGTAATCATAGACATAGAATGACATTTTTATCATTATAAAAATATGTTATTAAGGGTAAAAGCCTAAAAGGGGAAGCTGGTCTAAAGTTAAAGAACTTCCAAATATAAAAGTGTATTTGTTTTTTAACAGTCTAAGAAAAAAGGAGTGTCGTGTAAAACATCACAGAAAGAGTAGTTTCCTTCTTGAATTTTGGGTCATATCTATACTTTAGACAATCCCTACTTGCTAGCTAGGTAATTCAATTTATCACAAGGTAAGCTTCAGTCGTGGTAATCAAGTAATTCAATTAAAAAAAGCATTTGCAAATAGTACAAGAACAATGTTGCCCAGAGTAAAAGCATCAATCAAGTTCATGCATCACGACTAGACTGTTGTTTAAACCAGTGGGGACCAAACAATTCATATATTGTACAACTAAATGCAATGAAAGAAAGATAAAACTTTATCCAGACAAAGCAACGCCCATAGGAAAAGGTTGCGGTGGGAAAGCAATCTACAGGAAAGGGACTTATGTTTTAACTTTATCAACTTTAGATTTCCATCAATCGGGATCTTGTTCGATTTGACCGGACATAAGAAAATTGACATCTCTCATCATTTCTTTTTCCATTTACTACATTTTATGAAAGATTTTAAATAGAACTAACTTATGTTGATCTGATTTTACAATCATGTCTTTGAGAAGGAGAAATTATTATTTGATTTTACTTTTACCTGATCAATATTCACTATCAGGTGATCAATACCCACGAAGGAGTTCAAAGGCACTAGCAAGTAGTAATCAATAAAAGCAGATATGTTGAGTGGCAAAAGCTTCACAAGCAGAGACGAATTTGCAACAGGTACGTACGTTGGTGTTATTACTTATGTTCATTTATTTTTAAGTTTCACACGTTCATACAACCATCATATGTGAACCGAAAGCAGTATTGGACCATACCTATTTGCTACTATTGTAGATGCGGCCATCATTGGTAGGATAGAGTCTATGTCCAAGTGTCTATATTGTTATGATTTAGTCTATGATAGTGGCCTGGCCTATTAATACAAACTTATTTAAGAAGCGCAGTCAAAGCGTGCAGCATGTTCATAAAATGGAGGAAAATTTTAGTCAACCTGGTCAATAGGACACCTACAACTTGTTAAGTAAATAAATATGTGTACAATTTAAACTTTTAAATAAGATAATCACACAATTTAACATAATATCAAACCTACATAATTAGTTCTAAGTTTAAGTCTTACCACCATCTATAATCAAAATAAATTTTCACGAGCATGGTTAAAAAAGAAGAATCAAACCAACACAACCAACACATGAGAGGACGTACTAATTAAAAACATGTAATTAATTAACTATTGCAACCTAAACTTTTAAATGAGATAATCACACACTTTAAGAGCTCGTTTGGGCATAAGAATTTTTTTACTTTTTTCGAAATCAGTGTTTGGCCATAAAATTTCTAATTTTCACTTGAAAATGAATTTTGGAATTTTTCTAAAATTTGAAAAACTCCAAAAAGCTGTTTTTTAAAATTTTCACTCAGATCACTCACAAAAATTCAAAAACAATCCAAAATTTTATTCATGTCCAAACACAACTCTAATTTTCAAATACCATTTTCACTTGAAAAAAAAATTTCACATTTCTTTGGAATTTTACAATTCTTATGTCCAAACACTAAAACTCACTAGGCAAAACCGTTATCAGAAAAATTTCCACGTGCTTGGTAAAAACACATGCATACATACACACACAAGCGTATTGACAACGTATCTATCATTGATGAAATTTTGTAAAAAAAAAAAAAAAATCAATGATCAATGAATGCAGCATGTCAAGATAGTGTCAAACTGAAAAAATAGGAAAGGGATTACCCTTAATATTATCTGCTTCGCATTCCAGGAGGTACAATATCCCCAAGCAATCCTTCATCAGTTGGCAGCTGGTTGGCTGGTTGACTTGTCTCTGGCAATCGACGAGCTTCTGCAGATTCACCTGGAATTTGACGCGATTCTGGGGCGCTCATAGGTACTTCTTGAGGGTATTGAACACCCGCGGGAAGGTAGAATTGTGAGGCTAAGGGTGTTAATTGATGAGTTGTAAATGCAGCTTCATGACTAATAAGTCCACCTCTAGGAAATCCAACTGTATGGTGACAATGTTGTCCTTCATATGTGGTAATTACAATTGACGGATCTTCAGAAGATCGCTCGACTCTTTTCTTCACTGTGCACTTGGTGTTTGTACAACGATAATAGCTCCTGAGAAGGCATAGACATCCTAATTATTTTGCAATGGGTAAGGTCTGTGTACACACTTTCCTCTCCGATCTCACTTGTAAGATTATACTGAGATTGTTATTATTGGAGGATTTAAATATATTATTTCTATCTTGATAGAAATTATCAGTGCTGTGCAATATGTTGATATATAAAACATCATACTGTTCAGATACCATGTTTATTCGGTAAAATGACTTTTGAAAACTTTGTTGTGAAACACTAAAACAAAGGTTTCTTCTAGTATCTGCTAAGAGATAAACTAGTACTAAAATCAATGATTCTAGAATATGCGCCTTAAATTTTGGTGCTTCTGAAGTAGTTTTCGGTTGAAGTTTACTTTATTTACTTCACTTCCACAGTAATACAAAAAAACAAGAAAGTTCAATAATCAGGCTAGCAAAATGAAATGTTTTGTATGATATTATGTCCAACCTTCTTTTACTCACTGGACAATGATGGAATTCCATCAAAGAATCATCACATTATTGCCGGTTGGACTTTCAACTGCTACTATAGTCAAGTAATTTTTTTTTCCAGGATAATAATGGTATCCGAGTTGTGCACCCTCGACTATTTTACTAGCTATTTGCTACTTCTACCACCAATAAAATTATAAATCCTACATACTAAGGCTCGGGCAAATTAGAAAAAATCACTTAGCAATTTTTGTTTCTATTGAGATTTAAACTTTGATGGGGTTGATTACTATACCACATCCTTAGACACTACACTCAAGCAATTTAAACTTTAACAATAGTCTGTCTTGGCAATATTTTGTTATATTAGCATGTTCGCCGTACAGTTTTGTAATCAATTGGACTTATAATTTACAAACTAAAAGAATGACAATTATATTTCAAGTAGCATTTACTAGTATTTGTCGAATTTAGCCTATTATTGTACATCAGTTGGAAGCCAATTCAATCATCAACAACATTCGTGGGTAAGATATATAACAAAAAGAGGTATCATGCTTGGACATAAATATAGTTCTGCATGTAAAACTGGGAAACAAAATCTTGCAACAAATTTAGTTGTTCACCGAGTTTCTGCACCAAGCATGAACAAGTATCCAGCCATACTGGTATATACTTTAATGTATTCTTTTACTTATATCTTTAACCCACCCTGTAACATGAGACCCTATTTCTTTTTCTTGGGTAATTATTTGCTAATAATGAAACCATCTTATCATTTAAAAACTTAAGTTATTAGATATAATTAAATTCTACTTATTTAATAGCTACATTCAATCAGCCCTTCACGTGCCACATTCTATTACTTTTTTTCTTGGGCTAAGCACGTAAAAATTATTCTCTGTAATGTATGAAGGTGAATAGTATCCGAGATCCCTATTTGTTTTTAACGTGTGATAATTTCATCTAAAAACTTAAGTTTTTTTTAGAGATGGTGCACTTTTATTTATTTAGTCATATCTTCAACAATTAAAGACATGCTAAAATTTAGCAAAGAAAGGGAATTTAAAGGAAAAAAATGTTCAACTTAAGCATTATTTAAGAACAAATTACCTTGGAAATGGACTATTTTTAACAGCTTTTTGACCATACTTCCTCCATCTGTAGCCATCTTCAAGATGATCAACTTCGCTTTTCGTCATAAATGCAAAGCGGGGCTGCCTGATTCGTTTCTGACCCTTCTTTTTAACCTTGCTTCTGTGGAATTAATATTCAACCTAAAGTAACATTAGGAATGTGATTCCTTTTTCACGCTAGAAAATAGAAAAAGAAGCATTTCCAAGTACACCTGCTGAAAATAGCAATCAAATTGCTTTTCAACCGACCTAGTTATCAGATAAGTTATTGTAAACAAGATACATCTTTCAATTGAAAAAGAAGGGGTCGATCTTTATTCTTTTAATGAAGTTGTAGACGACAAACATTTAATATTACTTAAATTGGTTTTACATGTTTTTGCGTCTTATTTTATCTTATATGCCGAGAAGTGAAAGAAATTCAAGATTTTGGTCCAGAAATTAATCTATACTATATAACACCTAGCATTAATACTAAGAAGCAGAATGAGAATGAACAGAAAGTAGCTAAAAGAATGAAAGATTTCCACTGATGTCAATAGATGCAATGAATGGAACTTAAAACCAGAGACCCTTGTAAAACTAGTGGGCAACGTAATTAGAAATCGAAAATAGTAATATTAAAGCACAAATTAATTCCTCTCTCAGCCTAAACCATAGGATAACAGGAAGCGCACCGTTTCAAAGAAAACCCTCACTATTATCATTATACAATCAATCTTTTCTATAACAATATCGTTTGTATGACTGAGAATAGTTATTATTGAAAAAGAGGGATATTTTATAGAACAAAGTTGCTCTGGACGTATCACGTAGACCATAGCCATAGCGTACAGAAATGCATGCAATGGCCCATGAGAGATCACATAAAACAAAAGTTCACGCATATCATAACTAGGTTGCACTAGAAATATCACGTAGGAGACTGTTCTAATTTATGTGGCGAAGTCTCACTCAACACAAATATTTAACAAAAAACTTTCAAAACTTTTCTACAGCTATAAATGAAGGTTTTATTAAGAATAAATGATAAATTTAAAATTGAATTATTTTTAAATATGAAAATTGCCAACCACATAAAATATAACAGAGGGAGTAACTCATTTTCCGCATAACTGGTAGTAAAATTTTCCAACTTCCACCATTTCTTAAATATACTATGTACGCACAAAGCAATGGACCACAAATAATGAAGCAGAAGTAACTAATTAATGAGAGATTACACCAACTATTTTCAGAAAAGTGTTATGGCAAAGATACTTTACTATACACTTTGCATTAACCATGCGAGCTTTTGATTGCGTTTTCTAAATCTAATAACTCGTGAAAATCAGCACAAAAAAATCCAAAAAGAGAAAAGGAGAAATAAACATTTTCCTTAAACAATAGTAGGAGTATTATTTTAATTAACAATATTTTTAGGGAAAAATTTGTCCACGCCATTCCCGCCGCAATAACGGCTGTTTTGAAGCCACACAAAGTGCGCAATACCGAAAAGCCCAACTTTGATAATTAAAATTACGATAATACCTCTCTCATTCCCTTCCCCATACTCCAACTTGCGTAAACAACTTGACATTTCTAGAACCTGTACGGACGCGTTAATGGCTTTTCCTTTTATGCTTCTACTGCAATGCCCCTAAATTCTATATACTTTAATTTAAAGTCCATTATTTACCAGTGAAACTGCAGCTAATTACGAATTTAACACACACATAGAGTGAAAGTGAGAGAGAGAAGTTATATAAAGCTGTGCTACGTGAAGCGAGAGAAGGTCGATAACACATGACTCACGCTGTATCGGACGGCGGTCGGGAGGCGGAAGAGCCACCGGATGCGGTGGATTTCTCCGGAGGATCATCCGAACAGCTGGAAGATAAAGGTTCATCGGTGATTTTCCCCGTCGCCGGTACTTCAGTAGCAGAAGCAGATGGTGTAGTACTACTATTTCCCGCCAAGTCATCGTCGATTCGATCAAATCCACCGGCACCGCCACTACCACCGACAACATCCTTATCTCCGGCCGCCTCCGACGGTGGAAAATTCCAACCGAATTCGTTTAATATACTGCTATCTCTATCAGTATTGCCGAAGAAGCTGTAAACATTGTCCGATTCTGCACCGAGTGACCAGCTTGACTCAGTAGCGGCGAACTCAGCTGCACTTTTTAATGGATCGTCAACTTTATCCTTATCATCCATAGATGTTACAGAGAGAGTCAACTACGCGGAGAGAGAAAGCTAGGGTTTAAGGAGAAGGAGAAGGAGAAGAAGGAGAAGAAGGAGAAAAGATAACGCGTAAAGAGACTGTATTTTAAGGGAGTGTTTGGATGGAATATTTTAATTTTTGTTAACTTTTTGGGACGGTTGGATTTGAAAGCTTTGTCGCGTCAATGGCAATTGGTGAGAAGACACTGAGAGAAAATATAGAGTTAAAAAAAAATAAGTTAGAAAAATCGCCGTCATCCTCTAAATAGTGAGTATTTAACTTACTTGGGAGAGGCTGATATTTAAGTAATCAGAAATTCATATCTTTCCACGCGCTTCATCTCTGTTTGAAACTTATTTCTTAAGGAAAAACTTTTGCCAAAATTTTTCCAATTTCTTTTTGGCAAAATACATATTTGTTCATAAATTTTATTCATATTTTGGCAAATTTCCAAAATTCAAATACCAAAATCAGCTTTGACCCAAAATATTACTATTATATTTTTTAAAAATTGTCCCAAACTTTTGTATTTTATAAAAGAGCTACCATTTATTATTTTGTAACATGCTACTTCGTTTTCTCGGTCATCTGATAGTATATTATGTAGTTCATTATAAAAATAATAATTTTGTACCAAATTTATTTATATTTAGGATTATGGTTTGTGATAATGATAATGAATATTATTGATGAAGGTATTGTTGGGTATTTGTGATAGTTTTTAAAACTTGTGGGTATAAGTCATGTTTTATTTTTTTAAT